TTAATGTAGATAAAGTCTGTTGTTGATCTGTACTGACAATGACGTCTTTAAGTCTGTTTATTACACTTGAGATGATCTTTTTAGATCGTTTGAACAAATATCCTTCCTGTAAATTAGATTGATTGATTGTTGGTTGCTTAACGTCCAGTGGCAAATATTTCATGCATATTCAGGACGATATAAATTAGAATAACTTGAATTCATCTATTCATTACAAGTAACATATGCTGTACTTTTTATATAAGAACTTTTCATTTAACGCATGTAAATATAATTCAAAAAAATTTAGTATCATTCTTCTTACTGATGCGAGGTGAAAAAATATGAAGACCTCAATAATTTATATTAATATAAAACAGAAGATGCGGTATGATTCCCAATGAGACAACTCTCCACAAGACTCCACAAGTACATACATTTGAATTCTGAGAACCGAACAATTCTATTCTTTTAGATTGAAGATGATTTTTATATAAAATATAAAAGAAAGGAAAGTTATAAGAAGGTAGAAGGATTCGTCAAGTTATAGAAAGACAACAAATTAGTATGGTCAAAAGAAGGTAGCTTAAAAAGAAATCAGGCCAATAGTGTTCAATATTGAAACATTTACCGTAGGATAAGATATTTCGTTTACAAAAGGTCACTTCCAGGTCCCTTCACGACCCAATGCTTCAACTGTCATAAGGCTCATCTACACGGGAATCTGTTTCATCTCTATATACTGACCAGTAAATTTGTATCTATATATGGTTGAAAGCCATTTGAATCTCCCTCAATTAGGGTCTAATTTTTAGACGGTACAAACCAATGTTTCGTATTTTCCCTCGAATTTAAGACCGTGTTGTACAAATTATTGACCTGACCACATGGAAATATGATAGTTTAAAGTAATGGGGATATGCTTACTCTTCGGTAGTCTCTGAAACTAGTCTGTTAATGTATTTCTGCATAATATTTCCAAAGCTTTATAGTGTGTGATAACATTTTCTTAGGGAATTCGATGTTTGCTATACCACGGTTCATTTCAACGCACTTAATGACAATACCGCTATATGATGTTTTTGCAGTGTTTTGAGAAATGATTTTACTTTGTATCCATGTATCATTTGTGAAACATTAAATGTTTTAAAAAGGCGAATTTTCTGTATAAAGTCAATTATTATGTAGACTTTTGAAGCCCAAACTTTCTATTGCCCTAAATACGCAAATAAAAGATCCGAAAACTGTACCAATACAGAACGACATGTTTTTGAAATTATAGCAAAACATTCTGTTGACAAATTTTTATTCAGTATTGCAAAAAAATGAAATTAAAATATCTGTCATTTTCTCACTACCAAATTTACCCCTATCACTTATTATGATGTGGACCGGTCATTGTTATTGAATCTTACGTAATTTGTTTGATTGGATTAAGTTATTATTAGTTTACCTTCAAACTGTTTATTTTTTTCATACACGTATATTGATTAAATCTGAACATGCATGAATGTGTACAGTAACTTAAATGACCTTCAAAGTGGACACTGGACGAGTCCATATTATGTTTTATCAATTAAACTAAAGGTATGAAAGGTAAGAATTGCCACTTCTTATATTTTCACAAAATTTTCCATATATAGAATAGATAAATCATTTTTAACAACCTATTCCGGAGGGAAAAAAAGGTTTACAATTCACACGTTTTATTCCATTAAACAAGTCATTTTTCGAAGAGAAATGCCGAAATACATTTTACGCACGGCTACGCCAGGTAAAATTATTATTTATCTGAAAAAAAAAAAAACATTTTTCATTCTCATTATAATGTTATAATTACAATTAATCCCAAACAAAAGTAGTCAGTAAATAAAGTTAAAATATGTCCGATCTGCCTATTTTCGGATATCAAAATTCAACACGATCGTTTTAAGGCCAATTTCGTCTACCTCACTAAATCTTGTTAGGCACTGTAGTTTCAAGTGTAACAGTTTTTTCGTTTTATGAATACACTATTTATCAATTTTGATGGATAAGTCTTGATTTATTTCATACCTTCTTATTTTCAAATAACATAACATTCTGTTAACTACTAATAAGAAATATTCTTTTTTAAATTTGTTTCTGTTGACATTCCAAAAATGCTCTAAAACAACAATTGAAAATCTGCATTTCATGCATTTAGAACAAAGTACTCATGGAAAAAATATAATATTGTAGTCAGAACGTTTATAAAGTATTATTTCTTAGAATCTGGTTGTATTACCTAAATATTCTTTTTCAGTTAAATTTTATAATTATTTCATTTTGAAAATTAAAAAAATACAGTACTTGGAACCTTAGGCGTTACTATTTTAGCGATCAGTCAGCCGCCATCGATCAGTCACCGATCTATATAGATGATGTTCTCTCATTAAATAATTCAAAATTTGGTGACTCTATTGAACGCATCTATCCCATCGAACTTGAGATAAAGGATACAACAGATACAGTTAAGTTTGCCTCATATATTGACTTTCATCTAGAAATTGACAATGAGGGTCGGTTGAAAACAAAACTTTACGACAAAAGGGATGATTTCAGCTTCCCAATTGTGAACTTTCCATTTCTATGTAGCAACATTCCAGTTGATACTAAATTTTAGGGCTTGTATTTCCTATCATGATTTCCTTGATAGAGGGTTGCTGCTCACAAGGAAACTATTAAACCAAAAATTCCAAGTGGTGAATTTGAAGTCATCCCTTTGAAAATTTTACGGACGCCATCACGAGTTGGTTGACTGTTATGGAATATCTGTTTCACAGATGACGATGGATATGTTCCAATTGTCGTAACTTCTATCTCGTCCCCTCTACTAGTACCTAATGTGACCTACCGAATTAGACATATCATCGGGTTTGTAATTTCATGAGCAACACGACAGGTGCCACATATGGAGCAGGATCGGCTTACCATTCAGGGGCACCTGAGATCACCCCCAGTTTTGCTAGTGTTCTATATTGTGTTTTGTGTACTGTTGTTTGTCTGTTTGTCTTTTTCTATTTTAGCCATGGCGTTGTCAGTTTTATTTTCGACTTATGAGTTTGAATGTCCCTTTGGTATCCTTCGCCTCTCTTTCAGAAATTAAACCAAAAGCATCTGTTTTGTTAAACCGGAACAGTCTAATTTGAGTGTTCTATTAATGACATCACAAATTTTAACAACATTACTTTAAACTTAACCTAGCAATCCTTATATCATGATAAATTATTTGTTTTTTTCTTTATTGATTTGTACATTAATCAAGCCGTTAGTTTTTCTCGTTTTGATTGTTTTATATTTGTCATTTATGAACCTTTTATAGCTTACTTTGCGGTATGAGTTTTGTTCATTGTTTGAAGACGAACGTTGACCTATAGTTGCTAACGGCATATGGTCTCTGGTGGAGAGTGGTCTCAATGACAATCATACCACATCTTCTTATTTTTATATTAAGAGACATTTCATAGGTTTTAAGATGGACACTATCTCATTTCCGCTTATCCAGGATTAATTCTTTCGCCAAACGGCGAAGTTTTAAGATGAAATAAATTTCACTCATCTAGATAAATCGTCAGTTATCGCTTTCCAGTTACATTAAACCAGTTTCTGTGTTTGCATTTAGAGACCCGGAAGCAAGAAACAACCGAATGTTGACGGTGTATAAAAAAACAGGGCTTCAGAGTTATTGTAAAACTTCCTACTGTAGGGGCGATGTGAATCAGATGTGGATACTAAAATATTTCAAAGATCTGTAAGAATGAATACAATCTAAGTCTCTTCCCTCTTGCAATAGTATAAAAATATTTGACTTTTTTACTCTTTACTTAAGTTTTTCTCATTCCAAACTTACCAGACGATTGAATGAATTGGTCCAACTTTGAATCATGACAAAGAATTGCCAACGTTGACAAAAAATATCTTTTACGGAGGAATACATCATACTTTGTAAAAACACTCTGATTCAGAATTCTCTGACATTATCACGATGCTTGATTTCTTGATTACCAGCGTATTTGTTACATTTGAATGACAAATTTTTCAAGAAACAATCGACATTCCCATAGGAAATAGCTGTGCTTCTTTCTGACTTGATCCTTTACTCATATGAGACAGACTTCATACAAGAGTTTTTTTTATGAAATACAGAAAGAAGCTAGCATTATTCATCAACGCCACTGTCCGCTGTATAGATGATGTCCTCTCACTAAATATTAAATAATTCAAAGTGTGGTGACTATGTTGAACATAAATATACGTTAATAGATACAATTAAGTCTGACTCCTACATGTCCTATCTTAAAAACAAGGGTCGGTTGATAATAAAAGAGATGATCTGAGCTTCCAATTGCGAACTTTCTATTTTTATCAAAAGAAATGGCTATCAGTCTGACAAGGAATAACTGCATATAGGTATATATAAATTGTTATGCTAATTATATATTTGAAAATGTCATCAGCTCTTCAACGTTTATACTAAATTTAGGATTTTCAAATATTTTGTCATTGCATTAGAGCTTTTGCTCATTGTTAAAGGCCGTAAGGTGACCTATTGTTGCTAACACCTACGTCATGTGGTCTCTGATGGATAGATGCTTTTTTTGGCAATCATACCACATCTCCTTGTTTTGTATTAAATCCATGAAATATATTTGGAAATATTTATTATAGTTTATTCCAAATTTTAGATTTGATATAGAAGAAAGCATTTAAAATATACAAGAAGCTTAATCCACGAGAAAAATATGTTTGCACTACTGTTTTTCATGAGTTATGTACGTTATGTGATATGAATTTTGATATCAAAATTTCAGGTAACAGTACCGATGTAAGAATATACAAATCAAGGTAACAAACAAAGACTGAGAGTTTTGCAAAAGGAGCGACACCGGTTGCGCTGTTAGGGTAAGCATATCATGCTATGCATTCATCACCCGCAATGCCAATCCGCACACAGTCAAAATGTCACAATTGGGAAAAGGATAATAAAGTAAATGCACACAGGGAATTTTATTTTTATTTAAAGCAATACTTTTATATCTAAGAGAGAAATAAATGCAAAATCTTTACATCAAAATATGAATAAACACCACATGCATTTATGGCAACAATCAGATACATTAGGTTAATTATTTAAAGTAATTTATTGCCTCATAACAGTAATTAGATACATCAAAATGTTATATACATTATTTCTTTTTCAGTGAAAGCCTCAAATAATGTTATGATGAAATAAAAAAACGCTTTTTCAAACTCCTATCAAATTCAGTTTTGTCTCATATGTTATAGCTTGTTAACACATTTCACATTTGAACAACTTCCTTCTTGTGGTGTTTTGGGTCTTTGAGTCTTTAGTATGCTGTTACTTGCATACGTATTCTTTAATTTATTTCAGTAGGTACATGGATATGAATATAATATACTTTCCTTTTGATTAATTCTTTCATTTCTATTTACACATCTGTCATTCTTTACTTTTCTTATATAGTAGCCTCTAAACATATAAACATATTTCAGAATAGTTGTCGCGTTCTGTTTCCAATATCAAAGTACATGTGAAAAGCAACCTAAAAACCTCTGTTTTGTCATCATAAGGACCCTCAATTGTTTGGCCAGTTTCTAAACCATCAACTGATTCATTTCTACCATTTTCACCTTCATCTGTACTTTTCGCCTCAAGTATGTCTTTACTTAGTTGATTAATTGCAGTTTCAAGCCACTGTAGACAATCTGTTTCTAATTTGCTAATTAATGTAGATAAAGTCGGTTGTTGATCTGTACTGACAATGACGTCTTTAAGTCTGTTTATTACACTTGAGATGATCTTTTTAGATCGTTTGAACCAATATCTTTCCTGCAAATTAGATTGATTGATTGATTATTGGTTGCTTAACGTCCAGTGGCAAATATTTCATGCATATTCAGGACGATGTAAATTAGAATAACTTGAATTCATCTATTCATTATAAGTAACATATGCTGTACTTTTTATATAAGAACTTTTTATTTAACGCATGTAAATATAATTCAAAAAAATTTAGTATCATTCTTCTTACTGATGCGAGGTGAACAATTATGAAGACCTCAATAATTTATATTAATATAAACAGAAATGCGGTATGATTCCCAATGAGACAACTCTCCACAAGACTCCACAAGTACATACATTTGAATTCTGAGAACCGAACAATTCTATTCTTTTAGATTGAAGATGATTTTTATATAAAATATAAAAGAAAGGAAAGTTATAAAAAGTAAAAGGATTCGTCAAGTTATAGAAGGACAACAAATTAGTATGGTCAAAAGAGGTAGCTTAAAAAGAAATCAGGCCAACAGTGTTCAATACATTGAACCGAAAACTTAGGAATATACTAACAAATAGAAGCCAATCGAACAGAAGGATATTTCACAATTTAAGTTGTAAATTTACAAAATATTTTATTTTTCAATATTAATTGAAATATATTTTTTGAGATTTTGCCTGTATGGTTGCAACTATTCAGATTGGTCTGTTTTAGGTTCAGTAAATCTATCGCGGTACAAATAATCTCCTGAAAATTTAGAAAGGGTCGTTTACATGTTTACTTACTAGTACTTTGTTTGTATCCTCGGCTATTTGCTCTGCCTCTTCATTTGACAGTTTTGTCATCATTGAATATTTTGTAACTCTTTTTTTAACAACTCCAATAGCCGTTGAATTTTGCATCTCTTTCGCTGCCTGATAAATACACATTATAACTATGATATTGTGCTTGTGAATCTCAATTTATGTAAACAATTATGCTCAATGACAAACAAATTTCTGTAATATAAGGTAAATCAAATGCAAAAGAAAGGTTTCTGAATAACTAAAGAAATAATTATGCTGAAAGAAAACTCTTGAAATTATCAAAACTAAAAATTTGAGAAATCAGTTACTGCGAAAGATGTAAATATCCGGCTGCCCATTATCAGCACCACCCTTATTTCCGTGTGGGTAAAAGAGATAACAAATTCAATACAAAGAGTGTCAACAAAAGAAAATGTAAAAAAATGTTTTTTTTAAAAAGTTCTATCAATCACATACGTGATACAAAAGACGCGAGAGAAACCAAAGGGATAATCGGAACTTTTATGTTGATTATGAGAGACTGTCATTATCAATGCAAAATCCGAAAAACGACGAAAGAAAAACACTACATTAAAGACTTTACTGTCCACCTGCAGCCCGATCTAAAACCGGGTTTGATATCAGGTGCTCAGAAGAATGGGTAGATCCTGTTCCATATTTGGCACTCGTCCTGTTGCTCATGGTAAGATTAAATTCGGTGTTTTTTTTTCAAAATAGAAATAACGACTCAGCAGCACTACTCCCAACTCCAATGTTCAACAACGGTCACCCATCTGATGTTGGCTCCCGCAACACTTTCGAGGGGATGACTTCAATTTAACTTTGTTCAATAGCTTTAAGGATATTAGGATCTTGATATGAACCAACAATATGTGTACTTAATGTCCAATAGTGGTAATATTATCTTATAACGATGTCACTTTCATTGGACAGGTATGTGACAACGATTCCTTTTCTTGACTGATTGTTGTAGAAACACCTCCTTGAGATACAATACGCAATAACGAAGCAGTCCAAATCAATGCATTCTTGACTTTAATTCTACTTTAAATTCGTAAATTTGACTTTCACCTGCCCAAAATTCCGTCTATTAAAATTAATTGTATGACTATGTCCACTTGGCGACTTTGTTTTTATGGCTTTGTCATCCGAACATTGTGAAATAACTTCTGATTTGGACGAGTTGAAAACTTTCAGAACGACAAAAACGAACTATAGCAATGTGAATTATGTGTACTTGTCTGTCACTGCATTATCGTCGAACATTTTTTTCATTGCAAAATTTGTTTGCGATATTGTCACTAAAATTTTGCAATGTGAACATGAAAAATGGATAATCTGAATGAATTCGCAGTATATCGTATGGTCGACTATGCGGTATGGGTTTTGCTTTTTGTTTAACGCCGTACGGTGACATATAGTTGACGTGGTTTTATTCGTCAAGATTTTTAAAACAGAGAAGATAAATAGAAAACAAAATAATGTGTATCTTCTCTTGTTTACCACATTAATAAAATGACATTTAGTAGCATACTATTCAGTCACAAACTTAAGTTTATATAATGCCTTTATATAGATATAAGAAGATGTGGTATGAGTGCCAATGAGACAACTCTCCATCCAAGTCAAAATTTATAAAAGTAAACCATTATAAGTCGGTCATTTATGACTGTTTTCAAATGACTCTTGGATTAATTGTGATTGTCCGATAGGAACATTGTTTAATACTATTAAAAGAGGCGCATTTGTTCATATTAGCAATTATACCATAGCATAGGCAACAAACAGCTGCCCCATGAACGCATGATACGCCCGTCGCTTTTTCAAAGAATAAAGTTCAATAACTCCTAAACGTCATATCAGAAATTTATAAAAAAAAGAACTAAAGGGAGGTTGTTTTAATAGATATAAACCCGTCACCAAAGTTTCATGAAAACTGCTCAAAGCACTTTTGAGTTATTGTCCGCAAACTGGAAAATTACCCCTTTTTTATGAATAAAATCCCATAACTCGGAAGCCTAAAATCTAAAATTTATAAAAATTTTAAAAGGAGCTTATATCAATAGATCTAAACAATTCACCAAAGTTTCATTAAAACTGCTGAAAGCATTTTTGAGTCATTGTCCGAAAACTGGAAAATGCCCCATTTTAATGAGAAAAAAAACATAACTCGGAAACTTAAAATCTAAAATTCATAAAAATCGAAAGGGAGCTCACATCAATAGAAATAAACAATTCACCAACGTTTCTTGCAAATTGGTAAAAGTGTTTTTGAGTTATTGTCCGAAAACTGAAAAATCCCCCTTTTTTAATGAATAAAACCCTATAACTCGGAAACGCAAAATCTAATATTTATAAAAATCGAAATGGAGCTCACGTCAACACGTCAATAGATATAAACAATTCACCAAAGTTTCATGCAAATTGGATTAAGCGTTTTTGAGTAATTGTCCGACATGTTGACGACGGACGGACGACGGTATACCATAATACGTCCCGAAAAGGGGTGTATAAAAACAGAACAAAACAATAAATCTTCATTCGCAGTCCTTTTGAACTCTTTCCATCAAGTTACCTAGGAAAATGCAAACTTTTAGTTGATGTAAGTTTCATGGTTGCATCGATATGGAACCCGGTTTTTAAATTTTTTTAGTGAGGTTCCAATTGCTCAGTCTTTAGTGTTATATGTAGTGCTTTTAAATTGGTGTTTGTCATTTCGTCGTTTTTCTTCTTTTAACCCTGAGTTTGTTCGCTCTATGACTTATCAGTGTTTATTCGTCTTATGAACAATGATGCATATACCAAAACCCTTTTACTTCTTACTTATAATACAATGTGGACGTATTGTGTGCTCACGCATATCTATTTTGAAGGTCCGTTCTAATACCGGCAATTCCGCAAGTCCAGTCCAAATCGCTAATGAAAAATGTATTCATCATCCATAAAAAAATACAATTTAGAATTAAAAGTCATTGAAACATACTAAAATCAAAAAGCTGTAAATCAATAATATATATTTGTACTTACAAAAGTCTGCTGAAGATTATTAACTAAATCATAGCTTTCAAGAAAAATAGTTGTCAAGTTCTCATATATTTCTTTTAGATCATAATTTGGAGGAGGAGGTATTTGAGATGGAGAACCCACTTGTTGTAGAGAACCCACTTGTGTAGAAGAACCCAAACAGTTTCCCATGTTTTTCGCCTACAAATAAGTACAATGAATCAACAGTAAAATTGGTAAATAAGAACTTTAGTATCTGAAGGTATATGAAAAGCCAAAAAAAATAATGCGTTGTCACATGTATTACCATTTTCTATGTTCACTGTGTTTTATATTGCATAGTAATTAGTTAGTTATTGTAGTGTAAATATTTGTGACCCAGATTTCTAAATTAAAACGTTCGTTCTATCCATTATGGAAAGTCAGTTTGTAAGACAAGTTGTATTTATGGTTGAGCATACCATACAGTATGGGTTTTTCTCATTGTTGAAGGCCGTATGGTTGCATATAATTGCTTACATCCACTTCATTTGAACTTTGGTGGATATTTGTCTCAATGGCAATCATTCCACATCTCCTTATTTTTATATTGAAATTATCATATTATATCATTCGCGTATTGTAGTTGAAATATTAGATTAACTAAATGATTGCAGGCTGTTGGTTTTCCAATTTATTTATTTTTTTACATTTTGTCATGTCGGGTCAATTTGTTGCTTACTATACAGTATGGACTCTTCTCATTGTTGAAGGCATAACACTTACATACAGTTACTTAAATCCACGTTATTTTGTCTTTGATGGGTTGTTAGCAATCATATAACTTTTTCTGACTTTTATATGTGGATAATTTAGTTTATTTTCTTAATGAAATGTTCAAGATCTTTTTTTTTCGGAATATTCAAGATCTGAGGAAATTTATATAGTTAATTAAAGAAATTTCTTATGTTAATGAAACTAGTGATATGTGATTAACATTGTAGCAAATTAATTTTTTCGTTAATTTTAAATTTCATCATCTGCGGTACATGGAACAAGAATTCACTCCAAACATTTCTCATGCGGTCAATTATTGTCTTTTTAGTTTCAGAAGCTATTCACATATGCAAATCAATGATTTATAACTTGTTCTTATAGCGATTAAGCAGGAACGGATTCACCTACAAGTGATTTTTCTGACAAATATTGATTTTTACAGCAAAACACTAAAAGTATTTTTTTGTCGAATTAAAGATAGATTAAAATTTTGCAAAAATTCTGATAAAATAAAAAAACGTTTGCCGAATTGTAAACAACAAAAATGCAAAATCCCAACATAAAAATAAAATTAAGGCTAAATTCCCCCCTAGAAAAAATAAGGCAAATTTTCCAAAAATTTATTTGACAATACAAACAAATATTTTTGGGCAAAACTTTTAACATAGAAGTTAAAAATCATAGGAAGCCGTACGGTCTTCAACAATGAGCAAAACCATACCGCATAGTCAGCTATAAAAGGCCCCGAAATGCCAAATGTAAAACAATTCAAACAAAAAAAAAACCAACGGCTTGATTTATGTATAAAACAATGAACGAAAAACAAATATGATATACAGCAACACACGAGAACCTCTGAATTACAGGTTCCTGACTTGGAACAGACACATACAGAATGTGGTAGGGTTAAATTAAGTTGCTGTCGCTAAACCTTGGCCTAGCCGGGGACAGTGGTGTAACAGTATAACATAAGAAAAAACTATAAAAATATGTTGAAAAGGGCTTAACTCATCATATCGATACAAAGCAGAAAAACATCTAAAAACACGAACTGGACGTGGCAGGGTATTAATACATCCACACAACAACAAAAAGACACTAAGTACACATCTGAGAGTACTCGCAGTTACTGACAGCTAGTTCAAAGCCAATAACAAATTATGAAAAAAATATATTTAATGTTGCGTTATTATGAATATGTTTTTATAAACAATGGAGATAACACTTTATAATTTCTATGCATCCAAACGGTTTTCTGAATTTATCTTTATCAGCAACTATCAGAGCCAAATATTTCAAAGCCAAGGATGTATAAATACTAAGACACGTGAAAACTTTTATGACTTAAAGGGACCTAAGGTCAACTTTGCCAGAGGAATCTGTAATCAAGGTTTCTTAAAACTTTCTTAATTCAAGAGCGAAAAAACATTCAGAAATATTCATTATCATTTAAATCGTGATTTGTTTCAATATGTTTTTATTTATTTTAAAAAAAATATTGCGATGATAAGTATATGATGGCAATTGTACCATATCAATTCACTTATGTTTTACTTACAATATTTGGCTAATGTCCGATATTATATACTAGTAATAGTAATGTGTGTAATTTCAAGGATTTATATAGTAAACAAGTGCCAAAAAAAAACGGTTATTCCTAATGTCAAAGAATGGATGGGGAGTTTACTTAATACGTGAATTTGAATATTCTTAATATGTATTTTCCACACTGCTGATGTCAATGGCAACATACTACAATCATCGAATACAACAAGACTGATATAGGAAACACGACACCTCGTACTATTTAAATTGATATTAACGTACACGGATATTGTATATAATAAACTTTTGTATTTCATCATGTTGTTAATATTCCTTAAATTGGTCAAATTATTTAGTGTTTGATTGTCGTCAATGCACATTATTATCTTCCTACTGTCGAGGAGCATAACCTACATATTTTTTTTGTGAAACAATATTTGTCTTAGTTGGCCATATTTTGTTAATTTCCATTACTCGGAAGAATATCTAAGTATATTCTTACCAAAATGTTAGATAATTAGATGTAACAAGGAGTCATCAAATTGAAAGTAAATAGTGTTTTTACTTGAAATGTAAAAAGATAATAATGTACTTATTTATTATTCTTTTAATTGAACCTCTCAAAGAAAACAAACAATTATATCATCCATTGAACATGTTGAAATAGGGAGAGTTCTCAACCCCAATTGTCCATGTCCCTGTTCCATGTCAGAAATCTTTACCTGTTTAGTCGTTAGTCTCTGATTGATTTGTGATGTTTTTGGGGTTAAGCATATTTTTTTTTTTTTTTGTTATCTTGTGCCAATAGCGACCTGTCGTTTTGAATAATTATATTGTACGATTTATTCTATTTACATTGAAATAAACTGAAGGATGAAAATAAAATAAAAGTACACTGTAATAGAATTATAGATGATTTGAGAGGGGATTAAAGCATCTACTAGGGAATAGCGATCTTACCATAGACCCTGTCGGACATGTAACTCATTTGCCAGTTAATAAAGTTAGTCATTGCAATATGCCCTTATTAACGACGAGAAAATGAACATATCATGGAAAATGTCAACATTTTGTGTATAGGGTAAAATATTTCTTTAACAAAAGGTCACTTCACGATTCAATGTGTCAACTGTCATTAGGCTCATCTTCACAGATATCTGTTTTACTTCCCCATCATACTTACAAGTAAAGTATCTATATGTGGTGGGAAGCCATTTGAATCTTCCTCGAATTGGGTCTTATGTTTGGGAAGGTACAAACTGATTTGTCATGTTTCCCTTGAATTTAGGTCCGTATTTTACAAATTATTGGACCTGACCACACGGAAATATGATAGTTTAAAGTAATCGGGATAGTTATGCTTACCTTTCAGTAGTCTCTGATACTAGTCTGTTTATAATTTTCAGCATGATATTGCTAAAGCTTTAGTTTCCAGTGTAACAGTATTGTACTTTTAGGAATATACTATTTATCAATTTGGATGAGACATGATTTGTTTCATACCTTCTTATTTTCAAATAACATTACCTTTGTTAACTACTTTTAAGAAATTGTCTAGATTAATTTGGATGTCTGTTTCTGCTGACCTTCAAAAAAGGTCTTAAACAACAGTAGAACTAAGCACTCATCAAAACAATATAATATTCTAGTCATAACGGTCATAGCATATAATTTCTTAGAATCTAGTTGTATTACCTAAATGTCTCTTTTTCACTTCAGTTTTTATAATGATTTAATTTCGAAAATACAAAAAATATCTAAAAAATTGTAAATAGTTCAAACAACAACGTTATCAGTCGATCTTTCAGAACATGAGTGACGTTTTGACGTTCTCTTTTCAAGAAGTTGATAGTCAATATGTTTATCATTCTTTTTTGTTGAGATTTGTACATGTTTCATACCAGTACGAATGTTTCTAATTACTAATACAGTAGTTTGTCGCTTCATTTAAGTGCGATGAGTGTAAATATTCATTAAAGATACCAGACTTATAATTCGGTGCGCCAGACGCGCGTTTCGTTTAATATTTTTTTTAATGTAAGTCAATGTTTTGTGCACACTTGACACATAAATCATGTTAAATTCAAAACTTGTGAATATTTCATTCTTGTACAAATCATTTACTTTAATGTTATAAGAATATTACTTACATTTTTATTTTTAAGATTGAATAGTAAAAATAGACTAAAATTTATAGTTTATTATGTTTAACAGAAATTTGTTTGATTGATTGATTGGTGTTTAACGCCACTTTCAACACTATTGTGCTATTTCGTGGCGGTCAGTTTTTATTGGTGGAGGAAGCCGGAGTGCCCGGAGAGAACCACCGACCTTCGGTAGGAAAACTGACAATCCTAGTCAATTAAGATTGGAGTCGAGTGCACCTGCCCCGTGCGGGATTGGAACTCACAACCTCAGTGTTGACTGGCTAGTGATACAGTAGTTGGACTACTTAGACCACTCGGCCACCGATGCCCCAACAGAAATTTGATACAAACAACAATTTCTGAACAACCTATCAAAATGCAAATAAAAGAAAACATGTGTTTACTATATACTTATTTGATTACTCGGACTCAATTATAAATTATTCTGTTTTGTTATAATCTATATGTCATAAGGGTTTCGTTATTGTTATATGTAACTACGCTTTTGTTATAATCATAATTAATTGTGTTTTGTTATAATTATATGTCACTGTATATACAAATATGTCAATGCGTTTTTATATTATCATATGTCATTGCGTTTTCGTTATATTGATAGGTCATTGTGTTTTGTTTTTGTAATAATCATATGTCATAGTGTTTTTAAATTATATTTCAAAAGATCTGTGGTTATCAGAAATTATCTGACTTCATATACACTTCTAGGAATATTATTGGTTAACAGCCAACACGTGGAGACCGTGTAGATTTAATAGTTGGTCAGTGGGCGTGTTTTATTAGAATATATACAAGGTTAGAAGTAATGTTACGTCCCTTTACAAAATCAATAAACGGTTACTAGTAGAAGTACGTTCCTTTAAAAAAAAGGGTGTTGTTCTCAAAGTAACATACATTCTTAACAGACATAATTATAATATTTTCATGCTTTTAGACGTCGAAAAATATAGAGACGCTGATTTTTTCACCGTTGATAATTGAATTATCTGTTTAATGTGGTTTTAAAATTGTGATATCAAGGTTAACAAATACGTCTTATTTACCCATATTAGATAGCCGGTAAGTTAAATTCGATACATAGTGACCTAATACGATATATACAGGGTCAGTAATTTCCATTGGGGGCTCTATTTTGGCTTACTACTGACCCTGTAGATACCATATTAGGTCACTTGTGGACTGTGTAACTAAAATTATTACGTCTTTACCGTTTACCAATGATAGACAATTAACATCACGGAACAAATCTTATTTCACCAGATGCGCATTTCGACAATTAATGTTTCTTTAGGGATGCTCGAGGCCACACGGTACAAGAAATAAAACAAAACCTAAAAACACTTTGAAGAACTAATATAACCGAAAAGGACTTAACAAAACCCGGACAGGGAAAACCTAAAACAACTGATTGGAAAAATTTGCAAATAACGGTTTCCCTACTTTATATTTTTATAGAAAATACTACTTCTGTCAAGTATACTACAGACCCCCCCAAACAATTTAAAACAAATAAAGTCTGTCACAACAATGAATAAACGTACCTTCATACGATATACAAAGACGTTTAAATTTATCATTGCGAAAGAATAAATTACCACCTCGGAATTACATATTAAAATAATATATAAATCATATAAGAAAAGAAACATTTTAATATGCACTAGATTGGATTTAGTCGACGGGGAATTTTAAAACGGACATAAAAAACCAGAATTTTCAATCGCTCTCTTTAAGGAAATCATATCTCGGAATCTATTGTGTCACAGTTGTTAGCAATATGATAATGGTTTTGAAATAATTAGATCAAATTAAAGGCTATTTATAGCTTGGTATTCCGTAGAAGTTATATATATTATAGACGAATTTGAATAAATAATAGACTTTGTATTAACAACGAACCGGATTTTACTTACTTACATTTATTGACAAAGCAATTAAGGAAGTTTAAGTTAAAATTGTCAAAAATGAACTTGACTTTATTTTTTTCCCAAGAATCAAGGAACTATAATTCTAAATAGATTTGTTGAATGGATTTGGCAAAACCTTTCGGAACAACTTTCGGTCCTCTGTGCTCTTCAACTTTATACTTTACTTGGACTTTTTAACTTTTTTTTATTCGAGCGTCACTGTTGAGTCTTTTGTAGACGACACGCGCGTCTGTCCTACAAAGTTTTAACCTGTTACCTATGATGAGTTTATTCTCAAATAAACACTCGGCAATGATATAAAGCATAATGTTAACCAATCAAGGACCATAACATTTGAACGGAAAAAAAAATATCTTAATTCTTAGGACTTGACATCTATTAAAGAAATGAAGATCGTTTATAAATTCATTTATTTTAAGAGATAAAATATACAAATTTGAAATGGATTTGTAGATAAGTTTTCAAATTATGAATCGGAAAAGACAAAACTGCCATCGTTGAAATAACATGGCAGTATAATCGCTCGAAATTGAAGACCGAATTTCTGCACAGGTAAACCCGGTTAAAATACATTTTAACTAGAAATGGTCTGAAACTTTGATTTAAAATGTTGCTAACAAAATAAAATAATATTGTAAATGAAAATATTCCTTTATTCAGCTGGTGGGTAACTTCGTAAAGCGAGAATACTAAAATAACACAAAAAAAAACAACCGGGTTTGATGAAGTCAGAAGTAAAACGCAATATATGACTATACTCTGTCTTTTCAGAGCTGAATTTAAGCAACTAGTAAAATGTTCATCTTTTTCGCCTCAATTTTAGTATCTTCTAAACGTTCTTAAGATTTGAGTAATCAAGAAAACTACTATTAACATTTAATTTTAAATGTATCCATGGTTTGTGAATTGTTTTATGAAGAAGAAAAAAAAAACATTTTCACA